TTCTTACCCGGTTCCTCCTGATTTTTCTCCCATACAGAAGTAAAGTCATCAACATACTCTTTGAAGTGTCCCTATTTAATGAGGTCTTCAATTGCTTGCTTGAGTATCCGATACTCATCGGTGTGATGCCCATTGTCCCAATGATAGCAATAGTACTTTTTACTGTTTTTGGCTGAAGAGGACCTTTCATGGGCTCAGGCTCCCCGAGCAGGCCGACCTCTTCTGACTTATCAAGAATATTAGAGACAGATGCATTCAAAGGAGTGCACTAACTCCTGTCGCAATCACGACAAGAAACTGGAGCGTAAGATTTCTTGGGCTCATATCGCTGCTTCTTTCCTTTCTGCTGATCATCATTGGCCCATCTGCGATCAGCCGTCCTATTTTCCCCCAGACCAGGCACACCGCCCGAAGGACTGGGTTCGTGGTAGTTGAGCGCCGCCACGAAGTTTTCAATGCGGAGGTATTTTTCTGTAAGGTTGTAGAAGCGGGTGAGGGAAACATCGTCCTCAGATTGTAACTTTTTCCACAAGTCTATCTGTGGACGAACTCCCACGATGATGAGAGTCCGAACGGACTCCTTAGGAGTGTGAGCTACTTTATGGAGCTCCCGATGAAACCTGTCAATATAAGATTGGAGGGGCTCATTCCTCTCTTGCCTTATGTTGTTAAGATAGCTCAAAGGCATTGAGAACTTCATGTTCGCCTGGAAGTGTCTCAGAAATGTCGAGCTCATCTGAGGCCACGCACTGACTGATCCTGCTGGGAGTAACCTGAACCATCGCTTGGCATGAGAAGTCAGAGTGACTACCAAGCAATGACATTTTGCCAAGTTAGAGATTTGGTAGAGTTCCATGAGGTCATTGAACTCGTATAGGTGATCCTGCGGATCTGAGGCCACGAGCTGACTGACCCTGCTAGGAGTAACCTGAACCATCGTTTGGCATGAGAAGTCAGAGTGACTGCCAAGCAACGACATTTTGCTAAGTTAGAGATTTGGTGGAGTTCCATGAGGTCATTGAACTCGTATAGGTGATCCTGCGGATCGGAATTCTCATCGAATGCTCGCATGTCGGGCATTCTAAATCTTAAAGGGAGAGGAACGGCTAACATTGCTGGAGAGAAGAGAGACGCCTCTACGACCTGCCCTTGCTCATTTCGCTGAGCCTTTAACTGATCCAAGGCTCGCTATAGTTCCTCAATCTGAGGTAGTGGAGCCATCTGGGGATCGCTTTTCATAACGCGGGTTTGACCCTTATGGTTGCGGTTAAGGAAAGACCGTAGGTCGGATTCCTCCTCTCCTCGGTCGACAGTCTTAGCCACTCTTGACACACGCTGGCTAGAGTCGTGTGATGGCACTGGATGGTCCAAAGAACCATCCTGACCTCCGCAATGGTGCGAACCGACCCGCGGATGGTGGGAACTTCCCGTGCGACGACGATCGAAGTCGTCATTTTGGCAATAATGGGAATCTCTCCGCCTTGCACTTTTGTAGGAGTGCTTATGCGACATGGCACGGGACAACTCGGGCCACAACATGTCACCGAGTCTTTGCACCACAGGTATTCTACCCAAGGTGCAGTCGGTGTTCGCTGGCCCCTCGGAGCCTCTAGGCTCGCTGTTTGCCACTTGTTTTCCCTTTCTTTGATGCGCTATAGTGCGCGCGGCATGGGCTATTACCCTTTTCCGCTCCTTCATGCGACCTGCAAGCGTTTTTAGAGGTGGCACCGTCTCATTTGATTCAGGTGGCACGATCCAACCGGTCCAGCCTTTGGCTGACCGTTTGGAGAGTATTGTTGAACCTCTCCAGGTAGCTCATGACGGCTGGATCAAGCTGCGAGCTTGAAGGGATATCCTCCATGGTATTTTGCAGGGTTGAGGGCACCTCAGGAGAAGTGTCCTCTTGTACTTGGGGGATCTCCTCATCACCATGATTGGTTCGCTCAGATTCAAATCGGTGAGTCGTGTGCTGTTGTGGGATCAATTAGTCAGAGATTCTCCTAATGAAGAACAAGTACTAAATCAAGCCCCCATTCTAGCGCCAAACTGTTGATGCTTGATTTCGACATCCACTAATCACACGTGAAAAATGCTGAGCTGACTCAGAAGACACACGTGTATATAGGGATATTGGGTTGAATAAGAGATGGAGAACAATGTTTAAAGTGGTTCGGATGCTTAAATAAGCGAATCCTACGTCCACTGGTATTGTATTAATATATGAGATCAGGTCGTGTTCAGCGAGCTGATTTATAGCTTAGAAAATACAAGTGAATACACGAGAGAGAGAGAGAGAGAGAGAGAGAGAGAGAGAGAGAGAATGTATGTTATTTCGAAGACAAATTAGCTAATCCCACAAACGGGAGAGGAGCCCTCTATTTATAGTGGGATGAATTGAGGTAATGATTACTGAATCTATGAGTGGGTCAGATTGCCGTGCAAATTCTTCTTTATATCCCGTTTCTCACCTGCTCGAGTGATTTCCTCGACTTGTGCTAGGATTGGACAAGTGGAACTTTTCCAGCCTTTTGCCACTCTGACGCATACCCACTATGCTGGCAAGAGCATGCCGCTCACGTCAGCATGCGATGTGGCTGCGTCTGAACGGCTGCAGAACCTACCTAAGCTCTGATCGCCTACGCTGACAAGGCTTAGCGTCGGCCCTACTTTTTCAGGTATAACATATATAAAAGATACTCTTCAAAATAAAGAGTACCATTGGGGATGCTCTTACGAGAAAAATTACAAATACCAACATAAATTTTATAGTAAGCCTTATAAAAAGAAAATATATTATACTAAAGAAAATATCAAAAAAATCAATCACTTGTTGGAAGTGTAAACAAGCAGGACATTACCCTTCCTAAAATGTCTAATGAAAAATCAAATTAAAAAAATTAGAAATTGATCACAGACTTAAAAGAACAATTATTAAATATTATTCAATCAGATTTTGACGAAGAATCTAATTATAACACATAAAACGAAGATGTGATTTATCAAATTCAATAAAATCTATGTGATAATACTATGAGTGAAGCTTCAACAGATTCCAATGATTGTAATTGTATGAGACCTTGTTATTATGCAATGAAATCAATTAATTTGATATCCACCTCTAAATCAATAAATGTCATTCAAATAATAATAATAATATTAATATTTATTATTATTATTGTTATTGTTATTGTTATTGATGTTGTTATTAAAAATGTGGTATGTAAAAAACCCACATTACTGATTAAACAATCACTTAAGAAAATCCTAAAGAATGCCCAAACTACAAGAAGCCCACTCGGCTAGGCCCCATTATTTAAAGTTGTTGAATTTCAAGTTTACAACTATTATTAGATTGAACTTGAATTAAAGTTTTTAAATTTATTTAAAGATTCCTGTCCATCTTATCAGTTTGCAACTTGATCAAGCTTCTTTTATCATGGTCCTTAATTTTCATATTTTACATCAACATCAAATGAAAAAAAATATGTTTGCACATTTAAATAATGCCGTGGTTCATCATCATGATGTTTGGCAATAACTCCTTAGATAAATATTAACTTTTTTGTTGAAAACTTTAGCAAAAATGTCTTCATATTTTACGATAAGTAAATAAAAGGTAGGGATTGAGATGAAGTTGCAAAATGGATAAAAGAAAAGACTTAATCCATCTAGAGCTTCTAGTCCAATAGGGTTAAGGTTCTGGCCTTTTAAATACTAAGTAATACCCCCCTCAAACTAACAACAGTTAATCAAATTCTAACTCTAAGACAGCATTTTTTTTTTTTATACGCAAAGATAAGTGAATTACCCATTTTACCCTTACGTGTACAATTGAATTACTTATTTTATCCTAACACGTGTTAACGTTTATTAGAATCGGGGGGATTTATCAAGTAATTTAAAATGTAGGATCTAAACCCCGGGAGGATGAAGAATTATCTCAAAAATGGATTGGAATAGAGAATGAGCATTGCTTGATGGATCACATGTATTGCCGTTGCCATTGAATAATGCAATAGTTGAAAAATACATTATAACAAATAAAGCAATAAAATGTTTAGTCCTTTAAAAATTGGACTCCTTAATTCAGTGTAAGTTCTTCAATAAAATCTTACGGAGATCAATGTGAAAGGCTCCTACTCTCTGTCTTGTTACATCCCATTTGAAAAAAAATATGCAAGAAATTAAATTGAACCCATCATGCTTTTTAATTTCTCCCCATGCTCACTCATTAATGTTTTTTTTCTTTTCTAAAAGATGCTTTTGGGAAATGCTTGTGCTCTGTCACATCGGTGTCGTTTTTGAGGGGCAGTGAGTGTGTGTTGTGAAAGCATTTGAAATGGTTTTTTTTGTGAAAAAAACGACTTCCAATGCTTTTCAGACTTCTAATACTATCCACTGAAAAAAACATTTATGGAATTTGTTTCTAGAAAATAAAATTAGTCAGAATAATAAGTTTTAAGTGTCTAACAATTTTCAAAAACTATAAAACTATTAAGTATACCCGTAAAATTATCAAAATGTGTTTCACATGGAATGTGTTTCACAAGGAAGTATAAAAACTCCTTGGGATACTTTAATTATTTATGAAACTCGTTGGAGTATTTGAAACCTAATTGGTAGTTTCAGGATCCTAAAAAATTAGTTGAATTACGTATAAACTGATCTAAATATTTCTAGTCATAAATTAAAAAAAAAAAAAAAAGAGACTTTTTGAATCTCTCAAGAGGCAAATGACATTAACTCATATCATAAGCATGATTTTATGAAACTTTGCATATTGAAATGCAAACTTATAAAATTAACGAGAAATCTATATTGTATCCAAATTTGCGAAGTTCTTGAAATATACCATTAAATTATTTATTTAGGCTCAAAATTAGACACTTTTATGCTAATTTGGCTGTAAAGTAGGGATAAAAGTATGATCCTTTATATTGAAATATAATAAATTTTCAACTTCTTGAAAACGTTTTTGGGGCAATATCAAAAANCAAGGAGGCACTTGACTCATTAGAAAATTACCATAGTCTGTTGCGCTGGCCATCTGTGATTTTTCGACTTTGCAATGATTTTAGTACTTCAAAGGTATGATTTTTCACCATGGAAAGCTCATCCTTAGCCGTTTTAATTAATTAATATAACTAATTGATATCTTTTACGCGTTTTGCTACACAGGCTGAGCTAGAAAGAGGTGAAACCGCGAGTTCAATATTATGCTATATACATGAAATGGGCGTATCCGAGGAAATAGCTCGGGAAGAAATAAGGAAGTTCATTGAGAAAGCTTGGAACAAAATGAATAAGGATCTGAATAATAAGCATCCATTTGCAGAAGCTTTCGTAGAAACAGCTTTTAATCTCGGTCGGATAGTCCATTGCACATACCAACATGGAGATTCGCATGGAGCTCCTGATGGTAGCGCTGAGAACAGAGTCCTTTCATTAATAATTGATCCCATTTCAATCATGCCAAGACAAGTAAAATCACAATGAATTTTCGAATCCAAAGGGCAATTACATTGACGAGCTGAATGTCAACCACCCAGGGAATGGTCTTCCGAGAATTTATTGGTTATATACATTATATATCTTTTAGCTGAAGACTAAAGTTTCATTCACTGGGAGATCTCTTGATAACTTTAGGTGCTGGTGCTACAATCTTTCCTTTATACGGAATAAGTTGTAAGGAACATTTATTGTGTACTTCTATTATCGTTCTGTGAATAAGGAGATACTATTTATGATAATTGAATTTTGTTTTTCTTGAGACTTATATTAAGAGCACGATAGATTAAAATCATGTTCCAAAACAGATTTAAACATACTGAGATTTGAATAAATTTTTTTATGAGAAAGAAAGTTTTAGATTACATCAAAATCTCAGTATGAGTAATGATCAGAACGTGAAGTCACTGCAAGAAAAAATATTTTTTACAACCAGGCAAAAGTAATTGCAGGTACCCCACATTTAGTAACTAAACTCCAATTAGTCGATCAGAAGGAATAAAATTCTAAGGTCCATTTATTCTCGTTTTTAGCGTCTAAAATTAATATTTTGCGACTAATGTGATTTGTTGTCCAAAATATCACATCAGCGACTAATTTATTTGGTTGCCAATTCTTGCGCGAACACAATTGGCAACTACAACAAAGGATTCTGCAACTAAAATTATGGTTACAGAAAACAATTATTTGCAATTACTGAATAATTGTTAAATTAGATGCAAATACTTATTAATTAATTTGTAATTATTTTTATTAGTTACAAAATAATACAATTACCGAAATATCCAAGTTTTTGACAATAATTACAAAGGGTCCAAGGTACATTTGGCAACTAATTATTTTTTGCATATTACAATTAGTTGCAAAAACTCATGTATAGCAATTAAAATGTATTTAGTCGCTAAAAGTTGATGAATTTTTTTGAACCCAACTTTCCTCGTAAAATGAAAAAATATTATTTTAATTTGTGACTAAAATTACTGTTGTGTAACTAATTAGTTAGTTGTAAATTATCTTCTTTTGGCAATTAAAATTTTAGTTGCCAAATGTATAGTAAATTTTGAACGCCCTAAATTCCCGCTTGAAATAAATTGAAATAAATTATTTTCTTTTGGCAACTAAGATTTTAGTTGCCAAATGTATGGTAAATTTTGAGCGTCACATGTTCCCGCTTGAAATAAATTAAAATTTTGGGTATGTTATTTTGGCAACTAAAGTTATAGTTGTTAATAGGATTTTTTTTGCAATCAAAATGTTAGCCACTAAATATTGTTTATTAAAAATAATATATACTACTAGTAACCAAAATCAATTTTATTGTTTGATTCTATTTTTGCCGCCTACATTACCATCTCTTTGATTCTACTTTACCATCTCTTTGATTCTACTTTTGCCGCCTACATTACTCCATTGAAGGTAACTTTTATTTTTATTTTTATGTCAAAGTTCATTCTTTTATAGATGGTATTTCAATTTTATTGTTTGAATTTCAATCCCTTTTTTTACAATATTTGCTTTAATTTGTTTAAGCATCTGTTGTTAGTGAGTTCCTAAATGGGTGGCTGTAACTTCGTAATGGGTGATTTTATTTTTGTCTTCTCTTTTATCTGACATTACAATGGGTATTATAATTGTAATGAGTGCTTTAAATTCGTTTATTGTTACTAATTAACGAATGGTGTTTAATTTTATTTTTGTCTTCTCTTTCATATGACATTACCATTTTTTCCTAAAACTTTTGCTTAGCCGCTATTTCACTCGTTTGTACAAACCCTCATAGTTGACCTCTTTCTGGCACTGGAACAACAGTTCTAGTTTCTACCACTCTCGTTCAGTAGACAACGACTCGCTCACTGACTCTGGTGCTTATTTTGTGCCTATTTCGACAAAGATTGTTAACTTCGGTGAGTTTTGGTAAAGCGTTTCCCAAACACCCAAATGTAGCGATGTTTAGAAAAATGTAGAAACTGAACCTAATCGAGAACTGAACCAGTTTTTTGTTTACCTGAAAACCGTTCGATTGTGGTCCACAAAAATATAAAAAACTGAATTTCCAATTTTGAAAAACAAAAATTAAAAAGTAAACAATTTTTCCTTAAAATTTAAAAAGTAAACAAATTGAAAAGTCCCTAAATCCTTACAATTAAAGAAAAACAAAACCCCAAACTCGGTTTTAGGGTAACATAACATAACATAAAATAAAAAAATAAAATAAAATAAAATAAAAAGGGTAAGCAATTTTGCACAAAAGTTTTTGAAACTTAAAATTAAAAAGATGGTAAACCCACTTATACAAAATCCCCAAACTAATTTTACCCTAAAACGCAAAACACTCTCCACTTCTCCACTCCGTTTGCATCTTCTTCTCCATTTTTCCACACCACATATAAAACATTACAAAATCCTACTGCTTTACTTCTGAACCCAGAAAAAGAAGGCAGAGAGTTTTTAGAGATTAAAAATAGGTGATGAATCTTAAAGATTGGTGTGTGTATTATACAATAATGTTGTTGTTGATGAAATTCCATTTCTATTAAAACCAACAAAGGCTGATTTCTGCAAGAAGAAAGATCCAAAAAGTGCTTCTTTGCTTCTGAAACCAAAATGAAGACCAGGAATTTGGTGTTGCTGATGTTATGTGTTACCGTTATAGCTCCTATTGTTCTCTATACTGATAGATTCTCTGCCTCTTTCAAGGCTTCTTCTTGTATGTTCTCTTCTTCTTCGTCAATTAATTTATTTTCCTATCTCAATTTCATACCTTGTTTCTTCTTCCTCAATTAACATTTTTCTGGGTTTGTTTCGTTTTTGCAGCTAGAAACCAATTTCTTGAAGATCTTTCAGCTTTTGTAAGTTTTTTCAACTTTCCTTTTTCACCCCTTGTCTTTCAATCAAGATAAGATATTAAAGTTTCAATCTTTCTTCGTTTTTTCTCTTCAGACTGTCGGTGGTGATGCCAGCCATCTAAATCTTCTTCCCCAGGTGCTTGTATGTTCATGGGTTTTTTGTTTAAATAGTTTCTTACTTATAAAACTCAGATCTTTATATATTATCCCTTCAAAATCTCATTTTTTTTCTTCCTTGTTGCATATAGGAATCTTCCACAACCCGTAAAGTACCCATTGGAATAGTTTATTCAGGTTGGCTTTTTCATTCTTTCTCATTGTTTGTGTGGTGAATTCAAGAACTTTTGTTGGGAAGTTGTCAGTACTTGTATCTTATGGGTTAAATTTGCTGTATGAGCAGAATCAAGATAGCATAAATTAGCTAGAGTTTTGTCCTCAGTCAATTATAAATTAGCATAAATTTGCTGTATTGCAAACTTTGCTAACTGATTAACATTGGATAAAGGGAACTGAAACAAAGTTAGAACTACATTTTCCTTTGGCTAAGATGCTAGAGGATAGATATGAGAAAAAGGGAACTGAAACAAAATGGAAGAATCGAATACTGCCGCAAGATGAGAATGATATGCTGAGTGAGAAAACGCAAGAGGTAGCGAATTTGAATTGTATATGCTAAACTTATGTGCATTATAAGCCTTTAACTAATATGGCCTCTGCTTAATTGCTTTTATGTGGTTCACTTGATCAGTGAATTTCCTTCTATAGAAAGTATATGTATTCTAGCTCTTAAGATAAGGTGCACAAAAATTATACTTTGTTGAGGTGGCAAAAGGTGTTATTTTTACATTGTGATGAGAGAGTACCTCAATTTGGTGCCTTTTTTTCCTCTTCTTGGGAGCTTTAGCTTCTACTTCAGTTGTATTGGACTCTTCTGTTGCATTCTCTTTACCTTCAACGCATTGGCAGCATGTTGTCATGTGAGGCATTTGATGAGTCTGGATGTAATTATGGTGTTTCAGAGTTGTGAGTCTTAGTCATGTTTACTGAGCCTTCCTTGATTAGATGACATTTTTATGACTTACTATGATTTTATAATCTGTTGTTCAGCGTATAATTGATCTGAAGGTGAGACTATGCTCTGAATCTTGCAATAACCAGCTCAAAAAGATATTGAAGACAAGGGTGAGACATTATGTAACTACTAATTAGCATAGATTTTTGCTTTTTATTATTACTATTGTTATTAGCTAATCTTACCAGCATTAACTGAAATGTTTTTGTTTAATTAGAATAGTTAAAGTTATAGCAAGTTTAGTGCTAGTTGCATGATTGACTGAGGATAAATTATTATATTGTTATATATAATGCAGTGTATAAATTAAAATGTTGTTATTTTTGGATATCTTTTAAAAGTGTTGTGATAGAGGAAATGTTGTATATAGCAAATAGCATTGGAAATTTTTTAGTATCAAAAAGTAATTTAGTATAATTGCATTCCACATTCAGAGTCTAAAATGATTACAATTAACCACTAAATTTTGGTTACCAAACGATACATTTGTCCACTAATAAAAAAGTCGCGAAAACTTATTGGATTTCATATTCAGCGTTTAAAATTACTATAATTAACTACTAAATCTTGGTCACCAAAAGATACATTCGATCACTAATAAAATAGTCACGAAAACCTATTAGATTCCACATTTAGCGTTTAAAATTATTATAATTAACTATTAAGTTTTGGTCACCAAAAGATACATTCGGTCATTAATAAAATAGTCGCGAAAACCTATTGGATTCCACATTCAGCGTCTAAAATAATTATAATTAACTATTAAATTTTGGTCATCAAAAGATACATTCGGCTACTAATAAAATAGTCGTGAAAACCGTTTGGATTCTACATTCAGCGTCTAAAAGTATTACAATTAATCACTAAATTTTGATCACCAAAAGATATATTCGTCGACTAATAAAATAGTTGCAAAAACTTTTTACGAAATTACCCTTACACCTTTGGCATCTAATTTTTGTGGGATTTACGATAAATTATTAGACATTAAAAGGTACATTTTGTAACTACTTGATTAGTTGCTATATAATTTTACCAAATTACACTTGAATTTTTAGCGTCTAAGTTGGGGGACTATTTTGACTAGCATTTAGCGACTATTTTGCTAGTCGCAAAAAAAAAAATTTCCGCGTCTAAACAAAAATTCAGACGTGCAAAGAATCTACGGTAGAGATACTGCAACTAAGGGGTACCTACCAAATTTAGATGAGAAAAATGGCTTAGCATCTAAATGTGAGATGCAGAATGCCAATTTTCTTGTAGGGAGTTTTTGAGAAGATTAACTAAACTATATGTTGATCACAAGTATTGAATCACTCAACAAAACTCGTCCAAGTTTGAAATTAACTCCCAAGGTGATTGTACCTTTACGTATTAATAAGGAGAGTGAAGTCCTTTTAGTCATTTCAGAGTTATATTGATAACATTTTTTTATAAACTTCTTGGCATCTGATTGCGACCAAAAGCATTAAACATCACACGTGTCAACAAAAGGTTTCCTATCACTTTAAAGCTGAACTGGGCTTTCTTTTACTAATCAACTGTAAAATTAAGGTACCATTCCGTTCTTAATTTGCAGATGAAGGTGTGCAGGATTCCGGTGTAGCCCAGAAGAGAATAACATGAAGTTGCGGACGTGTACAGAGGAGACACGTGGTGGTTGTTGGAGAACAAATATAGAAGACGGAGGAGGATTGGGTTTGAGTTTGTTGAGGAGTGACCGCGTGAGAGTGAGTAGATATATATGTTTGTTGTTTTGTTTTATTATTTATGAAACGCAGGTCAATATTTTGAGTTACCGTGTGAGGTTGAAATGGATATATGTCTATTTATTAGGAGTAATGTTGCCTTTATATCATCCTTTATACCATTTTTATTACACTATGATCATTTTACTAATAAATAATAATAATTTTATTATAATATTAAAAATTAAAAATAATTAAAAATTTATATATACCACATATAATATAATGAAAATAGTGTAAATATAGCATTACTTATTTATTATTGTTATCATTTGTTGGCTTGATTTTACGGTTATAATTGTTATTGAATTAAATTTTATACATAGTCTTTACACATGTGATATATTTGGAAACTTCTTGTGATTATAAGTAAAACTTGGTGAGCTGCTAAGCAAAATTTCCTTCCCTATTAATATTACTAACATGAGCCATTGAATGATGAATGTTAATAAGACTTTTGATACTAAGATAAAAAAATCAAAATTTTCTTATATACAGTAAAATCTCTCTATAGTGATACTCTATATAAGAATAAATTTTATATAGTCATAAAAAATTTTAGTCCCAATTTAGGATAGTCATGGATAAGAATAAACTTTACATTATAATAAGTTATAATTTTTCTAATTCTCTCATTAAGGAAAGTTGCCTCCACATAGTAATAATTATCTGTATATTACAAAAAATATATATTATGTTACATTAAAGGTTTAAAATGAAATAAAATAATTATCTAAAGTTGTTTGGGACAATGATTTATACTTTAAAATTGTTACCACATATTTTAACTTGCGAGTCTGTAATAACTCGCTAGCATGAACACCTTCTTGTTAAAGTCAAAATCTTTTTAGCTCCTCAAGCACGTTTAAAGCTTCATGGCACGAAACTTTTTATATTTCCGTACTATCGTCCTCAAGATTATTTGCTTTCTCTTCTTGTCTTATTGTAACAATAATTTCTTCTTCAGTTAAAGCATACACAATTTGTTGCTCATTTGGATGATCGATAAAGAAATTAATATCTATTTGATTACTGTAGTGAAGTTGTCGAATCTGATAACTCAATTATGCAATGATTCTTTTATTCTCCTCATCCACTTCATTTGTAACTTGCAATTCATTGACATTGGAGGGCCTAATTTTGTAATGCTTAAAACCATTGGCAATTGTTTGTGGCTTCACATCAATTGATGACACTTATCTTTGCTGGTTTCAAGACACGATCTTCTATCTGTTTTAAAAGTAGACAATTGAAGCGCTGAATTGAAATCCTGATATTACTAAAATATGAATTGAAATCTTAATACTATATTACTAAAACGTAACATAAAATAAGAAATAAAAAACCAACAATGGGGTGGCCGAGTGGTAAAGGCTTGGGGCCAAGAGATTTGTTCCCCCTGTGGTCTCAGGTTCGAATTACAAGAATGGTTGCTAATATTGTTGGCAGGCTTGCTCTGTTTTGGAAGCCTTGTTTAGGGACGGGGGACTAGTCGAGGTGCACATAAGTTGGCCCGGACACCATTGGTAATAAAAATAAAAAAGGAAATCAAAACAATAATTTTAATTTTTGTAACTACACCTCTATTAAATTATAACCTCCTCATAGTAATAAAATTTGTTGATCCCACCATTATGACTATATAGAGGTTTTACTGTATTTATATGATATGCAAAATATCAAACCCCCTACACAAAATATCAAAAAACCCCTATTCTTTAATATTATATCAATTTAGTTTCGGCTCCTGGTTCCGGTTTCAATTTTTTGGAATCGAAACCTACCTTGTTACAGCCAATTCCGAGTAGGAACCGAAACCGACATCCGGGTACCCGTCAGTTCTAGTTCTACCCTAAAATTTTGTTCATCCCTAAATGTGATAATCTAAGTAATATAAGATGACATTATCTCAGTAATGGAGGATAACCCCAACCAAACAGCCCTTTAGGAGTTGTACGTATCACCTTATTTTTGAATTATGAAACCGCTAATTCCATTTTACGTTCAATTATTAGTTAAGTGTATATCCCCACAAGTTTCTCTAAATACCCAAAAAACAAAAAACAAAAAAAACAAAAAAACAAAAAAAACAAAAAAAACAAAAAAACAAAAACAAAACAAAACAAAACATTATTATCAATTTCCTTTCAGGTTCTCATAAATTTATTCAAGTATGAAAGTATTATGTTATTGCATTCTTTTCTTTCAGATTCTTGATATTATATTATTTCCTTTGCTTAAGGTTTGATGATTTTTTAAAAGTTTTTGACGAAATATGGAATGCACAATCATTACAGCTTTTCCTTGATCCCTGCTGGCTATGATCAAAGAGTAATTTTGTCATTCAATCAATCCCTATTTTATGTGATTGATTGAATAATTACATTTATTTGTATTCATTATTTTCCACTTTTACATTTACAAAAAGTGTATAAATTAGCCATTGTACAGGTTTATACAATATGAAAAATACAGAAAATTTTCTCCCTTCTCTCTTCTCTTTGGCATACGTTGGCAGTATCAATATCTTGAACTGCTGCTCTTTGCCTCTCCATATCGATTCCTGACATGGTATCAAAGCATGGTCTTTAACCTTCCGCTCAAACAAGCCTCTCTTTTCTGTCCCTGAAACCAAACAGAAAACTCGGTTTAGTTTTTTTTCTTCTTTCTTTTGCAAATGGCAGATAATCCAACCTAGCCCAAACTCAATCAAATACAACAAACCAAACAAATGCAAGCCCAAATCCAACTGGCCCAGATCAAAACCAAACCAGTCCACTCCCAACCAGCTTAATCCTAATAAGCCCAAACACACAAACCAGGCCTGACCCAGCCCGTTACCCATATGGAATGTCGGGTTATGACTCGGATTCTTTTACCCAAACGAACCTCGACCTAACTTCTCTTGGAATATCGGGTCATAACCCGGACTCTTTTCCTCAAACGGGTTCGGATCCAAATCCTTACCGTACCCATTTCACATCATCCCAGCCACCGACAACAGTCGCCCTGAACCAAGCGACGTTCTTTTCTCACCAGTTTCCGATGGACCAGAATTAGTCCTTGTCAAACAAACCCTTACGGGTTTTGATAATTATGCATCCTGGGCTCCCAATTTCTGGTGAGCCCTCATCACAAAAGACAAAGAACCCTTCCTCGACAAATCCTTCTAACAGCCACCACAACCACACCTCCAACGCCACTGGAACCGATGCAATACATTGGTCCACTCTTGGATCAGTAACTGCATCTCTACAAACGTATTGGCAGGACTCCCACCGATAGAGATGGCCACCGATATCTGGGCATACATCAAGGAGATGTATGGGAAGCTCGATCTCGCCAAAACATACACTCTCCGACAGCAGTTGATTGAACTCAAACAGGGGAACACTTTGGTGATGACATATTTCAATCGGCTCTCTACCATTTGGAATGAGTTGGACGCCGCTAAGGAAACACTTGAAGGGTCGCACGAAACCATCCACCAGTACCAGAGGATCCAAGATCGCGATCCATTGTCGCAATTTTTGCTTGGGTTGAACGAAAGCTTTTATGCTTTTCGTACCCAAATCCTAGCCA